TAACATTAATTGACAAAAGATTATCTATCTTGAAGCCAACCATGAAATGTCTGAAGATCTGCTTGTAACTGACTATTAATAGATTCAATATTGAAATCAGACCAAACAAGAACAGTATCATCAGCATACATTAAAATATTTGAATACTTCAATATTTTTGGAAGGTCATTTATGTATAATAGGAAAAGCAATGGGCCCAGTATGCTACCCTGCGGAACTCCCACGGAACACGGCAGAGACCCGGACACAGAGATTCCATGTTTCACAATCTAAGGTTTGCTCATAACTTTTAACAAGTTTAGAACACTCCAGGAAGTTTACTTCTTTGTTGTTGTTTTTTTTTTACAATGAACTTTTTACAGTCATTTATTTCACTTCGTGGTAGGTACAAATACAGTTTCTGTCCTTGTTCAGACACGGATGTAACTTACACTTTAAAAAAATTGCCATCTATTGTCATATTGATGACGTTTTCTTACTTTCTTTTTCTCTCTTCTTCCTCAATTTTATTTGATATCTAACGTATTTAGTCAGTACAACATAGAGATTATAATTTCAAAGGAAACCACTTTGAAAATAGCCAAAATGTGTTTTCAAATGGCATTTCAGTAATTAACCAATCATCCAAAATAGTGTGGGTTGTATTGTGGCAAGAAAACTGTTGATTAAATTACTAAAATTACTAAAATGTCACATGACAATTCAGGACTGGAGCACCTGCAGTATCAAGTTTGATACACACATTTTTAACACGGTTTGACTGTACTATTAAAATATTTTTAAGTAATATTGCATTGTTTCAACACAGAAAGTATTTATTTAAAAAAATTACAAACAATATTGATGTTATTTTTACCATAACTTCTCCAAAATTAGCAAAAGTTTACCTGAAAAAATATGTGGATGACCTCATGTCAGCAGACATTTTGAAAAGGAAAAAAAAAAGAAAGGAAAAAAAAGAAGTTCCACTTCCTGCAGTACATTGATAATCCAATAGAGGGCAGAATACAGGTCTCAAGTGATATACAACAGGTTTTTGAGGAAAATATTGACCACATTGATATAATATAGGTCACCGAATCCTGAGTAGCAAATATGATACAAATGGCGATATAGGGATATTGAAGACTGAGAGGAAGGACACATGACAGCAGCAGCATGTGTTCCATCAAAAGCCAGATGCGCTCATGCAAACACACACACAAGCCTGTGTGCAGCTGTCTCTGCAGATTTGCCTGTCATCTATAATAACAATAAGGCATGCTGCACAGCACCGTGTCAATAAACACATCATCCCTTCTCATGTGCAGCCAGCAACAACTGATGAGATGTGAACGCTGGTTGGTTAATTTGATGCTGTTGTAATCGTGGTTGGATCCTTTATTTTAGCACAATAAAGAACATTGTTAGAACACTGCCGTGTAGAACCTTACATCTGTTTCTTGTTTTGTTTTTATTCAGTAATATGAAAGCAGCAACAATATTTTCTGACTGACTAATAGCACCCACCTTTAGAATGGATCCCCCTATTCTTCATCTTTGGATAAGACATTTTCTGCTGTGCTTTATTTTTTGACAAAGAGACGTAAATATATTTCATTAACTTTATAAAGGTATTATTCAGAATAAATTAAGTTTGTATTATAACATGACCTAAACTACAAAAAAGACAATCTATAAATGCTTTTATATAATCTTTTAAAACGTGTCAAACTGAAGGCCCGTGGGCAAAACGTGGCCCAGTGAAAGCTTCATAGATGCAGAAATATCTTAAAATAAGCGCATGCTTGTTATGATTCTGTCGCTGTCTGCCCTGATCATGCCTCAGTTTAGTTTTATTATCTTATGTTCCAGTTTCTCCTCATAGTCTTGTTCCCAGCCTTACAGCTCACATCCAGCCCCTGCTCATTGCTCTCGCCCCTCCCTTCATAGAAACCCTAATCAAGCTCATTTCACTCACCTGTTTCCTGCAGTATATAATCCAGTCTCACTCTCCAGTTCACTGCCAGATTATTATCAGCTTGCCTGTGGTTCTCCAGCAGTTTCATCCATGTCTAGTTTTTGCCGCTTGATCCCGACCTTGTTCTTGTCCCCTGGTTCAACGATTCTCGCCTCAGCCCCTAACGGATTATACCTGCCATCTGCTTTACCGGTAACGACTCACGCCTTGCTTCTTGGACTCCTGCTCTTTGTCTCACCCCTGATCGGTAATCTGGCCACCTGGATCTCGACCCACTCCTGTACCACGGATTATCAGAACTTGCCTTTTGGACCCAAACACTTCAACCAAACTAACGGTGATGTCACCGCACTGTGCTGGAATGCAAACCCTTCCAAGGTTTGTCTGGAGTCCTTCAACTGGAAACAGGTTATAGTGGCTTTAATTCTTTGGACAGTCCTCCTTTATTGTTCTGCCACTAATCTGAATTTCCTGTGTTTAGATCTGACGAGAATCCGGTCCAAGCACTTCCTGGTTCATTCACCTCTGCACAATACACTTTGTCTTGGTCCGGTGCTTATTCAGAACTCAAAACTCGGTTCTTATCAATGCTACTTTAAATTTAGCATTTAACATGAACTACATCTCCTATAATGCATGTCGACTACTTTACCAGCCAAAGGAGAGCATCCAGAAGACGTTGCCATATAAAATGTGTGGTACCCGAGTGGCCAATTAGTAATAAAAAACTGTAGGAACCGTGAGCAGCGTTCAATAGACCAAGCAGTAAAATTTAACAGTGCTTTATTAACAAATAAAAACAGTAGCCTAAAAAATGCAAGGTCCTAAGGTACATCTATGTTCAGAGGCCAAGCCTGAAGAGAAAAAAAATGTTCTTAGCTGGCCCGAGAGAGGGGCGCGGTCCCTTCCGAACTCAGTCCCGC